GGTAACACTGTCGTTTTTTTTTCGGGTCGAAATTTTGAATTTCGATATCTCAGCTCTGGAAGGGTCTAGAGCCTCCATTTTTGCACTCAGGTCAAAGTCTCACAGCCCTCTATCATAATCCAGAGTTTTGAGAAGATTGGAGAAACTTAATTTTTCGCCCAAAAATGAAAAAAAACGAAAGGGGTAACACTGTCGTTTTTTTTTTCGGGTCGAAATTTTGAATTTCGATATCTCAGCTCTGGAAGGGTCTAGAGCCTCCATTTTTGCACTCAGGTCAAAGTCTCACAGCCCTCTATCATAATCCAGAGTTTTGAGAAGATTGGAGAAACTTAATTTTTCGCCCGAAAATGAAAAAAAACGAAAGGGGTAACACTGTCGTTTTTTTTTCGGGTCGAAATTTTGAATTTCGATATCTCAGCTCTGGAAGGGTCTAGAGCCTCCATTTTTGCACTCAGGTCAAAGTCTCACAGCCCTCTATCATAATCCAGAGTTTTGAGAAGATTGGAGAAACTTAATTTTTCGCCCGAAAATGAAAAAAAACGAAAGGGGTAACACTGTCGTTTTTTTTTCGGGTCGAAATTTTGAATTTCGATATCTCAGCTCTGGAAGGGTCTAGAGCCTCCATTTTTGCACTCAGGTCAAAGTCTCACAGCCCTCTATCATAATCCAGAGTTTTGAGAAGATTGGAGAAACTTAATTTTTCGCCCGAAAATGAAAAAAAACGAAAGGGGTAACACTGTCGTTTTTTTTTCGGGTCGAAATTTTGAATTTCGATATCTCAGCTCTGGAAGGGTCTAGAGCCTCCATTTTTGCACTCAGGTCAAAGTCTCACAGCCCTCTATCATAATCCAGAGTTTTGAGAAGATTGGAGAAACTTAATTTTTCGCCCAAAAATGAAAAAAAACGAAAGGGGTAACACTGTCGTTTTTTTTTTCGGGTCGAAATTTTGAATTTCGATATCTCAGCTCTGGAAGGGTCTAGAGCCTCCATTTTTGCACTCAGGTCAAAGTCTCACAGCCCTCTATCATAATCCAGAGTTTTGAGAAGATTGGAGAAACTTAATTTTTCGCCCAAAATGAAAAAAAACGAAAGGGGTAACACTGTCGTTTTTTTTTCGGGTCGAAATTTTGAATTTCGATATCTCAGCTCTGGAAGGGTCTAGAGCCTCCATTTTTGCACTCAGGTCAAAGTCTCACAGCCCTCTATCATAATCCAGAGTTTTGAGAAGATTGGAGAAACTTAATTTTTCGCCCAAAAATGAAAAAAAACGAAAGGGGTAACACTGTCGTTTTTTTTTCGGGTCGAAATTTTGAATTTCGATATCTCAGCTCTGGAAGGGTCTAGAGCCTCCATTTTTGCACTCAGGTCAAAGTCTCACAGCCCTCTATCATAATCCAGAGTTTTGAGAAGATTGGAGAAACTTAATTTTTCGCCCAAAAATGAAAAAAAACGAAAGGGGTAACACTGTCGTTTTTTTTTCGGGTCGAAATTTTGAATTTCGATATCTCAGCTCTGGAAGGGTCTAGAGCCTCCATTTTTGCACTCAGGTCAAAGTCTCGTGGCCCTCTATCATAATCCAGAGTTTTGAGAAGATTGGAGAAACTTAATTTTTCGCCCGAAAATGAAAAAAAACGAAAGGGGTAACACTGTCGTTTTTTTTTCGGGTCGAAATTTTGAATTTCGATATCTCAGCTCTGGAAGGGTCTAGAGCCTCCATTTTTGCACTCAGGTCAAAGTCTCGTGGCCCTCTATCATAATCCAGAGTTTTGAGAAGATTGGAGAAACTTAATTTTTCGCCCGAAAATGAAAAAAAACGAAAGGGGTAACACTGTCGTTTTTTTTTCGGGTCGAAATTTTGAATTTCGATATCTCAGCTCTGGAAGGGTCTAGAGCCTCCATTTTTGCACTCAGGTCAAAGTCTCACAGCCCTCTATCATAATCCAGAGTTTTGAGAAGATTGGAGAAACTTAATTTTTCGCCCGAAAATGAAAAAAAAACGAAAGGGGTAACACTGTCGTTTTTTTTTTCGGGTCGAAATTTTGATATCTCAGCTCTGGAAGGGTCTAGAGCCTCCATTTTTGCACTCAGGTCAAAGTCTCACAGCCCTCTATCATAATCCAGAGTTTTGAGAAGATTGGAGAAACTTAATTTTTCGCCCGAAAACGAAAAAAAACGAAAGGGGTAACACTGTCGTTTTTTTTTCGGGTCGAAATTTTGAATTTTGATATCTCAGCTCTGGAAGGGTCTAGAGCCTCCATTTTTGCACTCAGGTCAAAGTCTCGTGGCCCTCTATCATAATCCAGAGTTTTGAGAAGATTGGAGAAACTTAATTTTTCCCTTGAAAACAAAAAAAAACGAAAGGGGTAACACTGTCGTTTTTTTTTCGGGTCGAAATTTTGAATTTCGATATCTCAGCTCTGGAAGGGTCTAGAGCCTCCATTTTTGCACTCAGGTCAAAGTCTCACAGCCCTCTATCATAATCCAGAGTTTTGAGAAGATTGGAGAAACTTAATTTTTCGCCCGAAAATGAAAAAAAAACGAAAGGGGTAACACTGTCGTTTTTTTTTTCAGGTCGAAATTTTGAATTTTGATATCTCAGCTCTGGAAGGGTCTAGAGCCTCCATTTTTGCACTCAGGTCAAAGTCTCACAGCCCTCTATCATAATCCAGAGTTTTGAGAAGATTGGAGAAACTTAATTTTTCGCCCGAAAACGAAAAAAACGAAAGGGGTAACACTGTCGTTTTTTTTTTTTGGGTCGGAATTTTGATATCTCAGCTCTGGAAGGGTCTAGAGCCTCCATTTTTGCACTCAGGTCAAAGTCTCACAGCCCTCTATCATAATTCAGAGTTTTGAGAAGATTGGAGAAACTTAATTTTTCACCCGAAAACGAAAAAAAACCGAAAGGGGTAACACTGTCGTTTTTTTTTTCGGGTCGAAATTTAGAATTTCGATATCTCAGCTCTGGAAGGGTCTAGAGCCTCCATTTTTGCACTCAGGTCAAAGTCTCGTGGCCCTCTATCATAATCCAAAGTTTTGAGAAGATTTGAGAAACTTAATTTTTCGCCCGAAAACGAAAAAAAACGAAAGGGGTAACACTGTCGTTTTTTTTCGGGTCGAAATTTTGAATTTCGATATCTCAGCTCTGGAATGGTCTAGAGCCTCCATTTTTGCACTCAGGTCAAAGTCTTGTGGCCCTCTATCAGAATCCAGAGTTTTGAGAAGATTGGAGAAACTTAATTTTTCGCCCAAAAACGAAAAAAACGAAAGGGGTAACACTGTCGTTTTTTTTTCGGGTCGAAATTTTGAATTTTGATATCTCAGCTCTGGAAGGGTTTACATCCTCAATTTTTGCACTCAGGTCAAAGTCTCACAGCCCTCTATCATAATCCAGAGTTTTGAGAAGATTGGAGAAACTTAATTTTTCGCCCAAAAACGAAAAACAAAACAAAAGGGGTAACACTGTCGTTTTTTTTTTCGTGTCGAAATTTTGAATTTTGATATCTCAGCTCTGGAAGGGTCTAGAGCCTCCATTTTTGCACTCAGGTCAAAGTCTCGTGGCCCTCTATCAGAATCCAGAGTTTTGAGAAGATTGGAGAAACTTAAACCGTGACATCTACACGTTTTCCAAAGTGGACCAACCTGATTATTTCACGTCTTGTCGTGATACCGGGTTGTATATCCGGAAGAAATATTTAAATTTTGCTGCAGATCGATGTAAGTTTATCATTTAAACGCGTTTTTAAACATTGTGGTTGGGATACAAATTATTTCAAACTGCTCAGGCACAGTGAGCAGCAGGAGAGAATTCATTTTGTAAATGCTGGTTTTGAGACCATGGTGAACTTGAGACGGTTTTGCACAGCGCACTTGAATCTCTCTGAGGTCTCAAAGACGCTGCTAATAAAGATGCTGTCGCCATGTGTGTCAATAATGTTAATCAAACATCAGAAAGTAATTTAACGTTACTGTATTTGAATTACTTTTGCAAAATTAACAAGAATGAATGTTGAATTTGTAGTGAAAACCATGTAGGCTATTGTACATTTGATTACTTTATATAATATAATATTATTCAGTGCTTAAAGTTTTTCATAAGTCGATTTATTGTGCCTTTGTTCTATTTTAATTTGTGACTCTTGTCATCAGTAAGCTTGAGATTATTTTCTGGTGATATTGAAATTGGTCACAATAATTATGAAATTTTAGTCACAATACATTTTGATATGATAAAAAAAATCGTGTTAAAAGTAACATCACTTAACTGTGAAGTATATCATAGATGGATAAAATGACTCGTATAATAATATAACATTTAGCTCATGTAGTTGGTGACCTAAAGTGGTGGGGGGGCCCTGCAGTAACTCATAGCCCCGGGGCCCAGTGAGCTCTTAATACGGCCCTGATGGTGTGGGGGATGTTTTGGCACACTTTTAGGCCCCTTAGTGCCAATTGGGCATCGTTTAAATGCCACGGCCTACCTGAATATTGTTTCTGACCATGTCCATCCCTTTATGGCCACCATAATGCACCATGTCACAAAGCTTGAATCATTTCAAATTGGTTTCTTGAACATGACAATGAGTTGACTGTACTAAAATGGCCCCCACAGTCACCAGATCTCAACCCAATAGAGCATCTTTGGGATGTGGTGGAACGGGAGCTTCGTGCCCTGGATGTGCATCCCACAAATCTCCATCAACTGCAAGATGCTATCCTATCAATATGGGCCAACATTTCTAAAGAATGCTTTCAGCACCTTGTTGAATCAATGCCACATAGAATTAAGGCAGTTCTGAAGGCGAAAGGGGGTCAAACACAATATATGGTGTTCCTAATAATCCTTTAGGTGAGTGTAGTATGATATAGTGAGAATATGAAGTTCAGATTTGAGAAAAAACAAAGAAACAAGCAAACTAAGTCAAATATTCAGTGTGGTGCAGTTGCTGATATTTATGGCCAAATGAAGATGAAATTCTGATAGCTTGTAATGTAAATCAATAATAACAGAATAGAGACTACTTTCCGTTATTGGTATTCAAAGTAATGGGAGTTAATGGAAATGTTTGAAAGCATTCACAGATTACATGATTTGGGACAAACTAATCCTGATAACTATTTAACAAGTGTATGTAAATTGGTATGCAGCTACTATGATTCTCCCTTAATGTAACAAACAATTTTTAATGTTGATTATGATTATTCTCAAGCATTTTCATAAATGGAGTTTACAATATGGTGTTTTTTTTTATGTCTGCACTGTAAATGGTGCAAGTAGTTTTATTCTGTCTTACCAAGTCTCCAATAACATGGTTGTCTGAGCGCTGAGTGCGGTTGACCCCCAGTATGCCGAACACCACAAACACCATGGCCCCGGTGTCCACTAGAGGGCGCACTGCTGGTTTCCCACACTCTCCTCCACTGCAGGGGTTAAAGCCTGAAGTCCTGGAGATCTTCATCTGGGTGGGAGCTGATCACATAGAAGATGCATCTGATACTTAGCAAAGAAAGGACAACTTTCAAATTGTCATAAAAGAAATGTATCCAGCATCTCCTGTAGAAGTTTGGGGCATATCAAAGGAATATTGATTCAATCACAGAAACATGAATCCACTTTTCTTTTTTTTTTTTTTTTTTGAGAAGCCAACATTTTTTCAAGAAACAGTACATTTTAAATTATTTATCAACTACCCATTGCTCACATAAAACAGATCTCAGTTGTAGATATTTTTTAAGTTACTGTACTTACAAGGTCACTCATCCTCTTTTTCACAAGATCAACCTTGTGAAAAAGAAGTACACTTAAAAATATTTTTTTAATGCAGAAATAATGTTTACCATAATAAAAGTATACATACTTAAATTCATTGCAAACTCAATGCAATGCTTTTGGACAATTATTTGCAAGGTAATTACAATGAAATTCAAATGTATTTTATTTAAAAATTATATTAAATGTAATTAGTTGTACTTAAGGCCAACTTGAGTGGATCAAAAAAGCACTAGAGTTCATCTTTACAAGAAATTTCATAATTACTTCTATTGTCTGTGAAATATGGATGTTGAACACACTGATAAACATTTATGGTAAACTAAAATATACTTTAATATAATTTCTATTGAAACTTGGATATCATTTATTTAAATATATCTGTAATTACACATTTGTAACGATGAAGTTGCAATTTAGTACATTTATTCGATGATCCAATTCATCTATAATAATAAGTGAAAAATGACTTTAAATGTGTTTAAATGCATTTATTTGAGCTGCGCCCTCAACTTTACAGGCATGAATTTGCATTTCCTTCAGCCTGAGGCTTATTCATTTCACTTTTGGTGTGAAAGGGCATTATGTCTATGTATTGTTGGATGTTATTTGTTACACTCAAACGTGCTGTGTCTGTCAGTTTTGGCCAGGATGCTAATGTAAAAGATCTCAATGTGCTTCTTTCCTGGTAAAATAAAGGTTATAAAAAAAATTTAAAAAAATACCCCCGAACTCTGCAGAAGGAAGGAGTTCTCAATCTTGGACAGACTCCAGCTTTGAGTGTGAAATGTCTCCATCACAGGTACATTGGCATATATTTCAGCATGTCATATGAATATAGTTTCATGGGCTTTATTTTTTCAAATGTCAAAAGATTGCGTAGCTCACGTTTACAAGCCAGCGTCTTTATACTGTAGTAACGTTAGCCTATTGGCTACTATTTTACATAATGGATATGCTAATTCAATTCAATGTTTGTTGGTAGATAATAGCCATATCGACAATATTATAATATCAAGCAACCATAGATGAATCTGCAAATTTGAAAAATCGATTTCATTATAGTCTGAGGCAAGACACTTTCACCAGAAAAATAAATAACAAACATGACTATCAGCCTGCAGTGCAGACACAGGATAGTTATCCTGATTATTTTGTCCATCTAATCATGTATTATTTACTTGCAAGAATGTAGCCCCTACCAAACTCGGTAATCAGTATACTTTCACATCTCGAGCTGGCGCGAGCTGCCCGGGATGCTTGAGTGTGTTAAGCCCCCTCAAAAGAAAGCAATGCAGTCTACACTGGATGCGGACACAACACATTACCAACAGTAAACTGATTCTGACGCACTTCACATTTGGTTTTACTTGCTGCTTCAGCCATGACAACATACAGAGGTTAAAAAAAAAAAAAAAGCTTGTTGGGCTCTCGAGTCGAAATTTGACGAAGTGGGGGAAGTGATGTATGCGGTAACCAGTCGAATTTTGTAGTTCTTTTTGTGTTCGGTTTCCTACCCGCACCTCCAAGTTACAGAGTGCCAGTAAAAGCGATACAGACACTGTCAGGCTATGGCAGACCTGTCATTCAACCTATTGTACGTCGATGTACCATCCCCAGGGTTTTGTAAAAATATTATAAAGGTTGAAAAAAATGACATAGTGCTGCTTTAAAGCTGCAAAAGTTCAAAGTCAAGAGCTGTGAGTGAATTATTCTTTTGTTGTTTGATTAAGGACACGGACAGCATCAGTATATTAGGCTGCTGTCACTTTAAGAGGTATGTACACAATTTTTTAGCACACATCAAATTCTCCCTTCTGTTTACCTTCACTCAAAACATAAACCTAGCATGTTTACGAGAATACTCAGATTTGAACATTTTTGTGCGTATTTGACCACTTAGCTGTGCCCAGAAAGAGTGTGCGGATACTGAATACAAGTTCTCTTTTGCGGCACATTGCACTTTTAATAAGTCTTTGTAACATCAAGCAGGTCCCGCTCTTTGTTACTCATTCGTCCCCCAGACAGCAACATAGTGTCGGCCCAGATCAGGGTCACATCTGGTAGATTTGGATTCAACACGTAGGCCTACCAGATGTGGGCCGGATGTGGGCCGACACTATGTTGCTGTCTGTGCCATGTTCCTTTATCGCTCTAATGTGTCTATAGAGAGCCTAAATCCACCCCCCCCCCCCTTCCGGTCGACCACCATGGGACCTTATTTCGGAAAAATATTGTATGGTAGTCAATGGCGAGAGACAACAAATATTTTTATCTAGTTTGAATTGTGCTCTTAATTACACATATGATGTTTGTCAATTTAAAAGATACATTTTAAAGTAAAGAAAGTCGCAGTTTGATGTAAAACCGTTGAGGTATAAGACCGTGAAAATACGTAATTACAAAGACTACAAACCCCAAAGGCGCACATTTTCTCTCAATGAATGAAGCTAACTTTACTGAGGCTAATGTCTGTCATTGTTTCTATAGTCTTACGTTATAATCGTAACGTTAAGTGTTTTGTACCAGACTGCGCGCACACGAGCAGCGGACCTCGCTCGTTGTTTCGCTTCCCATGAGATGTAGTTCATTAAGCGATTTCCACATAAAACTAAATGTTACTCTTCTGTTTTATGACAAACTGCCACGTTTTTGACTTTCAGAATTATGTTTTAAATTGACAAACATCATATGTGTAATTCAGGGCACAGTTCAGACGGAAAAAAAAGATAAGTTGCCATTGACTACCATACATATATTTTTTTCCGAAATAAGGTCCCATGAGCCGGAAGCGGAGGGGCGGGACTTAGGCTCTCTATAACTCCTGCCCACTAAAAGCTGCAGGTAAGACTTTAAATTTGACAGTATTGCAAAGTGCACTTTAAAAAACAGTATACATAATTATGTTGAGAAAAAGAGTCATTAGTTAAGCGCACTTCTTTTTCACAAGGGGATGCTCTACCACAACCTTAAATTATGCACAACTTCAAATACATTTTAAACCATGCATGTACCAGCAGGAAGTGGGGCGTAAAAGCTGCCCTGAGTGGGTCCGTCGGGCCCAGAGCTGAACACACACCCCGGAGGCCCCTCACACACACGACTGGGGTACGGGCTGTTGGTGTGTTGGGCAAAATACAGCTTCCTGTCAAAAAAAAAAATACACAAACAGGAGATCAATTACTGGGTTATTATAACCCAAGATCATTTTTATTTGTTCAAACGGGGCACAGAGGACTATATACGCTTAAATGTTGCACAATAAAAACGATTTCAATCAGCCGCGGCTCATTTGTGAACATCACACTCGCCTGCTGTGTTGCTGCTCAACCGAAGCCACGTAGAACTCAAACTCTGATCTCCAGCGACGGCTGCCGTCACATGACCGCAGTGTGAGCATCCAGCGAGGGCGGGGGTGATAGGCGTGAGACACACACACGGTCATCCGCGTGCTGAAGTTGCTATGGGGACTGCTGTAGGCCTGTTACCGTGACAACACATCGATCAGAGTTTGTCAGCTCAGATGGAATGGGGCTATAAGGGCAATTGAAGCGTGCTGAGGTGATGCAAACACACGCCAGGACTGATGGAATTCCCAAGGCGTCGCAATAGATTGTGTACATTGAAAGCTTTGTTTTTGCTCTGAGGCATTAGCAAACAGGCGGTAATGGTTTTTGTCTGAGCAGTGAAGTAATACGCAATGTGAAAAACACATTTGCCAACCACAATTATGTTTTCAAGAAAACGGCTTGTCACAGCTGTCTCTCTCGACACTGTTTCTTTTTCTTTGCTTAGTATAGTAAATATACTGGCAATCATGCAAGCCGCTGTGTGTAAATGTAAATGTAAAATAATGAGCTTTTTCCCCAGTTCATTCGCTTAAATATAATTGAATTGACCTCGGCTCACTGTGTTGAACTGGAATGACAGGAAGAGGAATTCGGAGAGATTCAACAGTTGCACAACAGAGAAACTTCATTAGTTAAGGCCCGTTCACACCAAGGACGATCACGATAAAGTTATAGATCTAAAAATACAAGAGCCACTCCAACTAAAACAACACAAAGCAAGGTAAAGAGGTAAAAACGATATAAATACTGTTAGTTTTCTCACACAAACCGCTCGTTTCGTGTCTTAGGCCATCAATGTGTACTTACATTTACGAGTCATTCAATCATGTTTAATTTGGACTTCTCTGTGCATGCTCTTTGAGGTGGTGACCATAGACCTCCATTATATGACTGACAGACAAGAACGGTTTGACCTAAAAATTATCAAAATTGAAAATACTGTGGAAACAAAGACACCTACATCTTGGATGCCCTTGAAACATACTAAAAATAATTTCAAAGTGAACTATCCCTTTAATTCAAATCTAACTAATATTCAGGAGCAGAACGGTTACATATGAAGGAAGTAATTTTATCTCAGCTCTCTCCCGAACAGCACGCAATCCTGTTGTTTGTGTGTGTGTGTGTGGCCATACAGACCTGAAAGAATGGCACATCCCCGTGCCCGGCCGATGATGCTTGCCAAGGTGCAGGTCCACTGGCACTGAGAGAATAGCGATATAGAGGAACAGCAGAGCCCACCTCCAGTATAAACACATAGACAGTAAGGAGACCACCTGCAGAATTTTAAAAGAGACTTATTTCAAAAACAATAAAACAATCGTGACAACCCTAAACTGTGAAAAGGTAGTGCCTTGAGGTCTAAAGTAATGTTTTTTTACGAAAACTTATCAACTTAGTTCAACCCTTGACCCTTCATTAGCCATAGACTGTATTTAAACAAAATTGTGTCCATGTTTATGAGTGCACTAGCATTTATGACCTTAAAACTAATAGACATGGACACAAAACGTTAATTTGGATTTAATAGATTATTTTATAAACCAATAAAACTTGCAACAGCATGTAGTGGATGTAGATCAACAAGAGGTGTGTTTGTTTGCATTTTATTTTGTGATTTCACAGGAGAAGAGTTCAATGTGAGAGAGCTGCGTGTGCCTCGTTAAAAGCAGTGATGTTTTATATGAACATGTTGCCCCTGACACGGTCCTCCCAGAAAGATTTTTACGACTCGTAAGGGGGCGATTCAAAAAGAAATATCTTCAATTAGATACTGCAGCCACTGTTCTGGAGGAAAGACTGCATAACAGACTTTTTGGGTTTCAAAAATCCATTTCAGGTAAGAGAACATCCAAACATTGGTTTTCACGGCACATTAAGTTAATTACTTGTGGGAATATAGACAAAAGAAGATATTTGTAAGAATATGGGTAACCATTGGCTTCCATAGTTTAAGGGGCTTATCAACTGTTTGGTTACCCATATTCATACAATTATATTTTTGTGTTCAGCAGAAGAAAGAAATTCACACAGATTTTACTTTTTGTAAATGTAATGAGTAAATGGTGACAGAATTTCTATACTATTCCCTGAAAGGGACTTTGTCTTAGGTTAGTTGCAATAGGGTAGATAGCTGATAGTTGAACTTGAGAACACCAGGGGCACTGGAAGCAATATTCAGTAGGGCGGCAGGGGCGGCAGTGGGGCGGCAGTGGGGCGGCAGGGGCGGCAGGGGTGGCAGTGGGGCGGCAGGGGCGGCAGGGGTGGCAGTGGGGCGGCAGGGGCGGCAGTGGGGCGGCAGGGGCGGCAGTGGGGCGGCAGGGGTGGCAGTGGGGCGGCAGTGGGGCGGCAGGGGTGGCAGTGGGGCGGCAGTGGGGCGGCAGTGGGGCGGCAGTGGGGCGGCAGTGGGGCGGCAGTGGGGCGGCAGTGGGGCGGCAGTGGGGCGGCAGTGGCTCAGTGGTTCATGCAGGTTGTCTACAAACCGAAAGGTTGGTGGTTCAATCCCCGGTTCCACCTGACCAAGTGTCAAGGTTTCCATGAGCAAGACACCTAACCCCACCCAGCTGCTCCCGGCGAGCTGGATGAGGCCTTGTATGGCTGACACCGCCGTCGGTGTGTGAATGAGTGTATGAATGGATTAATGTGAGGCAAATTGTAAAGCGCTTTGTAGGCCATTGGGTCTGTGAAAGCGCTATATAAATGCAGTCCATTTACCAAGTCCCGCTGTAGTTCAATTAATTTTATCCCTTAAAATTTGATCACCAAAATGACATATTGAAATGTTTTGTTTGCTTTAAAATGCTTTAAAATAGCTTGAATGTAACTCTACACCCTTGCCTCATTTAGTATAAGCAATTCTATGAATATGCAAATGGGCCTCGCCTCCACTGACTCAAAGATCCACTTGTTGACGATCACATGTAGACCGAATTGGCTACAAGGTAGTTTGTGACGTCACATCTACACTCTAAAAAAAAAGGTTCTTCAGGGGTTCTTTGCGGTGGTCATGGTGCTATATAGCACCACTACCATTTAAAGAACCTGTTAAGCCCAGTTTGGTTCTTCAGCGGTTCTTCAGTGGTTCTTTAGTGGTTCTCTGGGGTGGTTAAGGTGCTCTATTGCACCTCTTATGGTTCTACATAGCACCATTTGATAAAGATAAGTGCTATACGGCACTTAAAGTGGTTCCCCTATGATTACAAGCCAATGAACCACTTTTAGTGCTATATAGAACCATTTTTGTTTAGAGTGTACTCTGGCATGGCACAGGACGAAAAACCATAGTGAAGAAGAGAATTTGATTTAATGGTTTTGGCCTGGATAATGGCTAGGGGATGCTGGACACAAAAAATCTTGCAAACCACTGTCCATCTTGGCCAACCTGGTTAGAGCCAGTAAAAGCCCTTAACTAAGCTGGTGGGGTGAGCAGATGAACCCATGTTCTGAACTCGGTTTACCAGCTTGACAACCTTTCGCTGGTACAGCATGACCTGGTTTTTGCAGCGGGGAGTGCTTCAAAGACTGATTAAGTTTTGATAAAACAGGTGTCAGTGTTTTTCCACCCATTCCTCCCAGAAGGGCAGAGAAACAAACCTGCGAGCGTCTGTGCGGTGCTGTTGGATGCCGGTTTGGACCGGTTTGAGGGAATTGTGGGATGGTTCCCTGAGGTAGAGCTTGTGAAATCAGCAGCACTGTGAAGATTATGAGGTCGCTCCATAAAAACACCTGAGAGACACAGAGAGGTCAGACATGTCAGTCTGATATAGAGCTCAAATATAGAGCTAGTCAGTGGAATTGTTTGGGCATAGTAGTATTAGCATTAGTACTAGTGTTTATATTTTTAAAGCAGTTAAAAAAACTTTTGCTGATAATTTACTCACCCCCATGTCATCCAAGTTGTCCATGTCTTTCTTTCTTCAGTCGAAAAGAAATTAAGGTTTTTGATGAAAACATTCCAGGATTTTCTCCATATAATGGACTTCAATGGGCACCAAATGATTTAAGGTCAAAATGAGAGTTTCAGTGCAGCTTCAAAGGGCTTTAAACGACACCAGACGATGAATAAGGGTCTCATCTAGCAAAACGATTGGCCATTAAAAAAATTAATATAAAAGTTTAAGTTTTATAAGCACAAATGCTCGCTTTGCTCTGTTCTGTGATGCACGTTCGTGACTCTCCTGTTCAAACTCGTTCATGAAAATGAACTAATCTTTTTTCGAGTCATGACTCGAAGGGTCCTAGATAAGACCCTTATTCATCGTCTGGTGTCGTTTAAAGCCCTTTGAAGCTGCACTGAAACTCTCAATTGGACCTTGAACCGTTTGGTTCCCATTGAAGTCCATTATATGGAGAAAATCCAGGAATGTTTTCATCAAAAACCTTCATTTCTTTTCAACTGAAGAAAGAAAGACATGGACATCTTTGATGACATGGGGGTGAGTAAATTATCAGCAAAAGTAGTTTTTTTTTAAAGTGAACTACTCCTTTAATATTACTATTAGCACCATGTTATTCTCATTTGATATCATAATTGTACATGAGCAATATTAGTAGTATGCAGCGTACACTACATGTACACTTCTGTTCAAAGGTTTGGTGTCCGTAAGGTTTTTAATGTTTCTAAAAGTATCTTCTGCTTACCAAGGCTGCATTTATTTGATCAGAAATACAGAACAGTAATATAGTGGAATATAATTACAATTAATCTATTCATCTTAATTTTTTTGTGGAAACCATGATACTTTTGAAGATTTTACCATGAAGTAATTTTTTTTTTTGTAACAATGTAAAAGTCTTTTCAGTCACTTGTTTTGATCAATGTAATGCATCTTTGCTGAATTAAAAATATTTATTTCTTAAAAAAAATAAAAATCTTACTGACCCCAGACCTTGATTGGACATATTCAAAAAGTTAGAAATAGACTATTTGGACAAAAGTATTGGGATACACCCCTTGATTAATGAATTCTGGTGTTTCAATTTCATTGCCACATGTGTAAAATGTGTCAAATCAAACTCCTAGCCTTGCAATCTCCATTTACAAACATTAGTGGGAAAACATGGGTCGTTCTAAAGACCTCAGTGAATTTAAGCGTGTTATTATGATAGGATGTTTGTGAAATATCATTCCTGCTAGATACTCCAAGGGCAATTGTAAATGGGATTATCAAAAAGTGGAAGCATTTAGGAACAGCAATAACTCTGACCACATAAAGTCACCGAGTGTGTGTGTGTGTGTGTGTGTGTGTGGGGGGGGGGGGGGGGGTCACTCAAAAAATACCCCATAATTTACTCACCCCCAAGCCATTCTAGGTGTATATGACTTTTTATTTCAGCCAAACACAGTAGTTATATAAAAAAATATCCTGTCTCTTCCAAGCTTTATAATATGGGAGTGAATGGTACCCTCGAATTTGAAGCCCAAAAAGCGCATCCATCCATCATAAAAGTAATTCATACGGCTCCAGCGGGAAAATAAAGACCTTCTGAAGCGAAGCGATGGGTTTTTTAAGAAAAATATCCATAATTACAACTTAATCACTGGCTGTAATCACTAGCTTCTGGTAAGGGCCGTATGCCAGTTCACAAGAGAGTCGCGTTCTGGTCGAAGAGTGACCTACGCATGACATAAGATGTAGGAGTATCGTAAGCTTAGGTGAGAGATGACGCCTCTCGCAGTTCAACAAATAGGGCTGAGCAATAAACTCAAGCTAGTCCCATATTTCTCAAATTCTCAATTTAGACATCTACACTGAACACAATTATAAACACAACACTTTTGTTTTTGCCCCCATTTTTCACAAGCTGAACTCAAAGATCTAAGACTTTTTCTACGTACACAAAAGGCCAATTTCTCTCAAATAGTGTTCACAAATCTGTCTAAATCTGTGTTAGTGAGCACTTCTCCTTTGCCGAGACAAACCATCCACCTCACAGGTGTGGCATATCAAGATGCTGATTATTGCATGGGTGTGCCTTAGGCTACCCACAACAAAAGGCCACTCTAAGGTGAAAACGTGAAAATATTTTATCGGATTTGCCTTTTGTTTACACGGCGACGGCGCTATTGGGGCTTAAAAATGCAAAAAAAAGTGAAACCACCCTCCAGAGTGGAAATCTTAAAAACGCTCCACCCGTCTAAAGGGTGAAAACGCAAAAGTCTGCTAAACAGTGAAGGTTGTGTGCAGGCGCGTGGACTTGGTGTTGTTGTGTGGCAGTGCTCCACATCGCCACCTAGCCGCCTGGAGTGCATACTACATCGAATTTCACACACTTTTGCGTCACCATATGCACACGGATTTCCCACCCAAAACGCTCGTCTAAACGCAGAATAAAAAGTGATAACGCAACGCCACTTTTGCGTTTTCTCTTCAGATCGTTTCCGTGTAAACATAGCCTAAAATGTGCAGTTTTATCTCACTTTATCAATGAATGAATGGATTTAGAATGCAGTATCATTACAGTTCCTCTTGGTGTAGTTGTCAGGGGTCCCAATACTTTTGTCCATACAGTGTATACTTTTGGGCCAGTTTGCCACTTTATTTGCCGAAGTTACGACGTCACTCTGTAGGCCAAAACGCGGAAGTGAGTTAGCATTTTAGCATTACGGTTCCCTCGCTCTAAAGCCTATGGGATTTTTGAATGGGTTTTTGCTAAATCGCCTGAAATAAGGTCTGTGGTGAACAGAGCCTCTAAATATTTTCACGTTTTGATCTATGACATAGAACACACAGTTATAACCAGCTTGTGGTTTTTTAAACTTTATTGTGTCTGATTGTGTTTTTTAAAATCTTTATATAGGCTTCAAAATGTATACATTTTGGATTACCTTGTAAAGATTATCTTGCTAGACAAAACGTGTAAGGGTCATAACCCTTTGTTAAACACAGATCTTATTTTTTGCGGTTTTCCAAAAGTCTATGGGGAAAATGCATTGCTTTTCGACCGAGGGAACCCATGCGCCGCTAGCTTCCGGGTTGTCCTACAAAGTGACGTCATCACTTCGGCACTCTATAGAGAAACAAGATGGGAAATTAAGTGGGGAACAAAAAATAACATTTAATTTTTTACATATTTCAAAATCCATCCAAGATTTTGAATCTCAGATTTTCAATGTGGAAACTTACGTTTTAATATATTTATGACTGAATATGCAGCAACTAGTTTCAGCATTGTAATGTTTTTGTTACATAGGATAATTGATTCTGGTCTTGAATATCTTTGCTAAACAGCAAAATGGATCATTGTTATAAAAAAACTATTTCTTCCTAAGCTAGTGTGTGATAAATAATGTACAGTCAGCCAATCACAACAACAAAAAAATGAAGCCCTTGTGGGTGACACTAGACCCTGGTGCAAAGCAGATATTATTCCTCACGTAATGGCTTATTGATGAAAGCTTTCCTGACACCCAAATATTGTCTCTACTCAAGTTTCGGCTCATTGCCCGCTGCCTTCATCTACTGTATCTTGCCACGAGCAGAAAATCTGTAGTCTAATTAAATAAGGCAGCCCAAATGAGTCAAGCGATCGTTTTCCATGACCCACGAGAGCGCTCTGCACTGTTTAGAAGGCTTACCCGAGCACATATGGCAGGCGATCCCCTGAGCGCTCAGGTTACTGCGCAGGTCCAGCAGTCTCTGCAGGTTGGTGTCTCTGTGGAACAGCACAGGCGCGTGACTGGCCGGCCGCAGGAGACAACAGCAACACACCGAGCCCAGCAGAACCAGAACATACACACCTGAAAAACCAGACAGGACGGGGGAGGATGTTTATCACAACAAGCTAACGCTGGGTTTTAAATGCATCCTGCTACATTATGCATGACTGTATTAAGTCTATAATTATACTGCTGTTGTTTCAACACTGCTCAGGCTGCTCACCTAATAAGAGGAAAGAGCAGTGGTGGACTGGGAGAAACCTGGCTCTAATTTAGCGTATTGACATGCATACAGCTGCATAAATATGCATATACACAATAGGCATTTGTTGAAATATCTTGGTACACTCCATCATGCTAATACAAGCTTAATTGCACTGTCGCAGACACATACTGTACGATAGAGATGCATTTCATAGCTCTTTTGTGTAAACTGTGAATAGACTGACCTTGAGAATAAGAAACTAATTACAGGGAGTCTGAAGCAAAACAGCAAGGAAATCTTTCATCTTACTCATGCACAAATTGTGTGTACACAAGCTCACGAGTACTGTACTCTTTATTATACTCTTTGTTCGTTTTTTGGATAATCATTTATCAGACTTTTATACCTGTGTAAGCATTGTTTAATCAACAATTCTTCTAGTTCTTGTAAAGGTATATTTTTAAATTTAAATAGACAATCCTGATTTAGTTAGAAAGTAAATATTGGTAATCATTGTTATTCACTCTCAGAAAAAAAGGTACAAAAGCTGTCACTGGGGCTGTGCCTTTTCAAAAGGTAAACTTTTGTCCATTTATGTGCTAATATGGACATTTAGGTGCTAATATGTGCATTTTAGGTGGTACTATGTACATTTTAGGTGCTAATTTGTGCATTTTAGGTGCGAACATGTAATTTTTTGGTGCTAATATGGACATATAGGTGCTAATATGTGCATTTTAGTTGCTAATATGTACATTTTAGGTGCTATTATCTACATTTTAGGTACTCATATGTACATTCTAGGTGCTAAAATGGAAATGTAGGTGCTAATATGTGCATTTTAGGTGCTAATATGTAAATTTGAGGTGCTATTATGTACATTACAGGTGCTACTATGTACATTTTAGGTGCTAATATGTAAATTTTAGGTGCTATTATGAACATTATAGGTGCTACTATGTAAATTTTAGGTGCTACTATGTACATTAAGGTAACAATATGCACCCTTTAGGTACAAAAGTGTACCTTTTGAAGAGGTACCGCCACAGTGACAGCTTTTGTACCAGCGCAGTCTCATCCCAAGACGTCATACTATTGACGTTTTTGACCATACGTCAACATCCGCCGTTTTAGGGTACCCTTAAACGTCGGTTAGATGAAGCTATCTAATCCTAACCCTACCCCAGACCTAAACCTACCCCGTCACCTAACTGACGTTAAAGGTAAAGCGTCAGTTGGATGACGCCCCAGGATCGCAATCTAACCGAAGTTTAAGAGTACCCTAAAACGGCGGATGTTGATGTATGGTCAAAAGCGTCAGTTATATGACGTCTTGGGACGAGACTGTGTTATTTGTACTTTTTTTTCTGAGAGTGTTGTAGTATTATTTATATTACTACTGTATTTGTTCAGCTAAACTTTTAGTCATTTTGTTGTGTGCTTTTGTCATTTTTATTAATAATAAAAATAAATTTAATTTGCAATGCGCCTTGCTAATACTCAAAGCAGAAAAACAAGCAAATTAATACATAATACATGAGTCAAAATAAATAATACATAATGCAGTTAGTTGCCAATATAGTTTTAGTTAACAATAACAACAATTCTGGTAAGATATTTACAGCATTCTACTCACATTATTTTTTTGCATAGTAGGTTATGCATAGAATATCTAAATAATGTACTTGACATACGCAGTATACAACCAGAGAACACTTCATCAGCACTGCATCCCGCAATGCACGTGACTTGATCATTTCATCAAACTGCCAAAAGGACGTTTACACAAAATTGTATTAAAAATGCTATAAAAAAGAAAACTTTTAACGTTTATCTGTAAATGTTCTTGACTTGACTAATATTTTAAGAAAGGGGCACAGTGTTATGCAGTATGCAGCAAGCAGAATGCAATAGCCTGCATTAAAACAGCACAGTATGTATTATATATTGCAAACTATTTTTTTTAAATAATAAGCAAATCAGTATAAACATTATTCTACAGTAATCCAAGCACTAATATGCAAACATTGAGTCACATGACCTCATTGCATTTCATGTGTAATTCAATAAACGGTGTCTAGTTATTATAGCCTATAAAAAATGTCTCCACATTTGGCAGTCTGAGTCAAGAAAGAGATGTAGCTGATATTATCGGTTCATCCATCACACTGCACATTTACACTGCGCTATATGATATCCCATGCTTATTTACACACAGCACATTTTGACAAGTGTGGTAAGTCATCCAATCATTTTATGCATACCCAAAATTTGCATACTCAACATACATACTATATATAGAGAGAGAATAGATATTACAGGTTGCAGTGAACAGAATAGTAAATTCCTAACAGCTTATTTTGGCCAGGAACTATCCATGTAGCCAAATATAAAAATATATTATATATATTTAATTGCTAAATTATTCTTCTTTTTCACAAGGGCAAAATAACAAAAGATTTTTTAATGTGATGTGAGTAAATCTGATATCGGCAGACCGATATTATCGGCCGATATTAGGCATTTTCCAAACTATCGGTATCGGCAGTTATAATGGCCGATAAATGAATATTTTAAAAATAAAATAAAACATCCCAATCAGTTCTCTTAACTCAAATAAGCATGACAAAATTTGTGACTAATCATCTCCAGTTTAAAAAATAAATAAATAAATAAATAAATAAAATATCGGCCGATATATCGGAATATCGGATTTTAAAACCCCAAAATATTTGTATCGGTATCGGCCTTCAAAATCCTTTATCGGTCGGGCTCTAAAATCTGAAGTACTGTAGCACTGCACACAAAGTGAGGTGCACTCAAGGATATCTCTTTTACATGCCATCAAATGTCTCAAATTAAAATCGTATATAATATATTTAACATGAAACTCACAGATGTAAGCAAATCAAGCAACTGGATTTTCAGCTAAAGCATTTATTGTACCCTAATTGTACAATACTTTGGTTCAGACAGAAGCCTGTGCTTCTGTCTGAACCCAAGATAAAAGCCTGTGCACCACAACTTCAGAAAGTAGCATATAAACCATCCGGAGTGGAAGGTTCCCGCCAGCTCTTGGCAGTTTTGTGAGTGACATACAGTACATCAAATCCAGAACAGAACAGTCTGTGAAAGAACATCACGTCTTTTAAGATAACCACAAATATTCCTAATTATCACAAAATGTTACTGACCTATGATAGTTTTCCGTTTGTTGACGACAGGCTCTGCCACCCAGTGTCTCAGGAGCCTCTGAAGGTGTGCGCTGACAACTCCCACGCTGCCCTCAGAGGACACGGACAAAGGAGCTTCTACAGAGAGCGACAGCAGGGCAGCATCCGATTCAGACTCATACACACCTGGACAGAAATCAAGACATCTTGCAATTTGAGATAATGCACCAAGGTGTCATGTCATCTTTTGACATACACTCAGGTAAAGTTTCAACCGCTCATTTGCGTCTCTGTACAGACTTTAGAAGGATCCCAGAGTCGTAAATAAGTGAGTGCTGTATTTTAATGGCGTCCCAGATTGCATTGGAGGATTATATGTTTGTTTGGAGCATTTTGTTTTATAAACGAGGAACAGTGTCGCAAAGACACTTTTGTTGACAGATGAAGCAGCAACTGATCTGACAACAGCTGCATCACAAACCATACATAAATTATTAATGATTTGTGTGAAAATTATGTTTTTGTTATGGATAATGTTTCTAAACACTAACATGCAATATTGAGCGGGCATTGATGCTGTTTCCTACACTCTCAGAAAAAAAGGTACAAAAGCTGTCACTGGGGCTACCTTTTCAAAAGGTAAACTTTTTTTTTCCATTTTAGGTGCTAATATGTACATTTTAGGTGCCAATATGTACATTTTTGGTGTTGATATGTACATTTTAGGTGTTGTTATGTACATTTTAGGTGTTGATATGTACATTTTAGGTGTTGATATGTACATTTTAGGTGTTGATATGTACATTTTAGGTGTTAATATGTACATTTTAGGTGTTATGTACATTTTAGGTGTTAATATGTACATTTTAGGTGTTGATATGTACATTTTAGGTGTTAATATGTCTATTTTAGGTGTTGATATGTACATTTTAGGTGTTGATATGTACATTTTAGGTGTTAATATGTACATTTTAGGTGTTGATATGTACATTTTAGGTGTTAATATGTACATTTTAGGTGTTGATATGTACATTTTAGGTGTTAATATGTACATTTTAGGTGTTGATATGTACATTTTAGGTGTTAATATGTACATTTTAGGTGTTGATATGTACATTTTAGGTGTTAATATGTACATTTTAGGTACTAATATGTACATTTTAGGTGTTGATATGTACATTTTAGTTGTTGATATGTACATTTTACGTGTTAATATGTACATTTTAGGTGTTGATATGTACATTTTAGGTGTTAATATGTACATTTTAGGTGTTTATATGTGCATTTTACGTGTTAATATGTACATTTTAGGTGTTTATATGTACATTTTACGTGTTAATATGTACATTTTAGGTGTTGATATGTACATTTTAGGTGTCGATATGTACATTTTAGGTGTTGATATGTACATTTTAGGTACTAATATGTACATTTTAGGTGTTGATATGTACATTTTAGGTGTTGATATGTACATTTTACGTGTTAATATGTACATTTTAGGTGTTGATATGTACATTTTAGGTGCTAATATGTACATTTTAGGTGCTAATATGTACATTTTAGGTGTTGATATGTATATTTTAGGTACTAATATGTAAATTTTAGGTGTTAATATGTACATTTTAGATACAAATATGTACATTTTAGTTGTTATGTACATTTTAGGTGCTAATATGTACATTTTAGGTACTAATATGTACATTTTAGGTGCTAATACATACATTTTAGGTGCAAATATGTCCATTTCATGAGCTAATATGTCCATTTTAGGTACTAATATGTACATTTTAGGTGTTAATATGTACATTTTAGGTGCTAATATGTACCACTAAGGTACCAATATGCAGCCTTTGGGTACAAAAGTGTACCTTTTGAAAAGGTACAGCCCCAGTGACAGCTTTTGTACCTTTTTTTTTTTTTGAGGTGGCGTATGCAGCGGCGTTAGCCAATCCTAACAGTGGGCGTTTACTGACTTAAAGGAGCCGCCCCTTAAAAACGAATCATTTCAGACAGTGTCAGAATAAAGGCTGAAAATAATTGTTTTTCTGCATATTTGTTTTCTTTTTGTGCAAAAACTTTATCAATGTTATAAGTGAACCATGACATTCAAGTGATAAAAAAATCCATGTTAATGATTAGGGAATTAAAATAGACTCTATTTACCTCCTTAATTCACGTGGTCTTATAGTAAATGATTCATTGGTGCAGATTATTCCAAATATCAAATTGTCTTTGTAATCTTTATCAAAATAAAGTCAACCTTACCTGGTTCCAGTTCAACAGTTATTAGAGCAACATCATCATCATCTGAGAGGGGACTAGGGCTGGTGGACAGTTTAGTTAGTTTGGTCCACCTGTTAGGTTTAACAATCTCAGTGTTAAATGGATGATTCACCCAAAAATCACTCACTCTCATCTCATTCCAAATCAGTATGCCCATGTTTCGCTCTTTTCCATGCAGTTGCAATAAATGAGGACTGAAGTTTTCAGTCTTCAAAAACAATGTTAAATAACTATAAAAGTCTTCATGAGATGATGTTATTGACCAAAGATCTTTTCCTCCAGTAAGCTGTCAATGGATCACAGACTCTGTCTGTGAATTTAGCTTGAGAACTGGATCAGTCTGAATCATGAACAAATCATTCAGACCTGTTTTGTGAACTGGGTCAACTAATTATTTAAAACATCAACTAAAAGTAACGATTTGTTCGTTTGATCAACAAAATTTGATTCCAAAATTTAACTCACTTCCTGTTTCCTACCTATATAACAATGTAACAAATTTGCATAATGCCATATTGGCTTCCCGAAAACAGTCTTTGACCCACCCTCAAACACTGTAGTTGTGGCTGGGATGGGAAGAGTTTGGTTTATGTTGTTCATGTAGAGAAAACGCCGTTTTCTGCACTGCAGGAATGAGCAACGATTAATCGCGATTAATCGCATCCAAAATAAAAGTTTGTGTTTACATAATATATGTGTGTTTAGTGTGTATAATTCATTTGTATATATACTCACACATGCATGTATATATTTAAGAAAAATGTGTTATTAATATATTAAATATTTATATATAATATTAATTGTAAATAAATATATATAAAATATATACAAATAAATACATGAACATATTTCTTAAATATATACATGCATGTGTGGGTATTTATATATACAAATAAATTATACACACTACACACACATATATTATGTAAACACAAACTTTTATTTTGGATGCGATTAATCGCGATTAATCGTTGCCCATCCCTGCGTATCACTATATGTCAAGTGCTGAGGAAGATCCGGAGCTGAAATTCAGATATGGTTAACGAGCGTTTGGTTTCCGAAACAGACTATAAGTGGTCGACCAATCACAACAGACTAGGACGTCTGACCAATCAGTGTAGATGCAGGCTCTCGGAAAGGAGGGGCTTAGAGAAACTAAATTCTTAAACCATTTCATATACTGTGAGAAAAGATGTAATACAATGTATATAATTAGAAAATTAATGTGTTTTTTGAACTTGGATGCATGTAAACCTATTGTAGGAGACAGGGCCGGCCCGAGGCATAAGCGAACTAAGCGGCTGCTTGGGGCCCCCTGGCCACCAGGGGGCCCCCTAATCGAGGTTATTTTTTATTTTTATTTTTTTAGATGACTTAAACAAGTGACATAAATCAATCTGAATGAATGAATATGACTGAATGAATAGTTCAAGACAACAAAATTCTGATTTAATGGTCAATATACCTGCCTACAAGTTACAACTGCTGCTCTGTCTGCCAGCGTTTAAGTCATACGCATAATCTTCTAGACACCTCGCGCGTGCATAGACAATTCGTGCGCAACTGCGCCTAGTCACGGTATCGGTTTAAGTTGGAGAAAATAGCCCGCAGGAGAACTTATCCTTCAAGGTGTAAGGGTAGCAGTTTGAATAAATAATAAACATAGCAGTTTGAACTCTTCTCCACTTTATTATACCACACATCAGATCTCCAAACACCCGCGACACTCCAGTAGCCTAGCAAGTGCGCACGACCCATCTACGGCAAGCCCCGAGGGGAAAAATACATTGCATACACACATACAACGAGCGCCAGAACATCATAACCGGTATTATAGTAACAGATTGTGTTGATTATGTCATGTACTATATAACAAAGTCTGTTACAATAATAATAATAACAATAATAAAGATTTTGAGGATAGTTACTCTGTATTGAGACAGTTGAGAAATAGGCTAGTAATATTTTTAGTTTTCAACAATAGCTGAGACCCAGAAAGTTTTTTTTTTTTAATTTAGTTTTTTTTCATGTCATCACATTGTTTAAAGCATAATAAACAAATGGTAAAAAAAAAAAAAAAACCTTTTTGAAAAATTCTATTTTATTCATATGTAATACTTTGTCCTCTGTAGTGGACACCAGGACTCAGTTGTTAAAATTAAATGACATACAATGTGTAGGCAAAAACAATGGTTTTTTTTTTTCCAATCACCAATACATTTTGGGGTTTCAGGATTTTTTTTAACTAAAATTTGTATAAAGATGATTATCAACTATGTTATGAAAGATATAATGGAATTAATTGATACACCAATTTACTTTATGCAATATATGGGTAAAATTGGCATAAATTAATATTCCCATTCAATGCAAAGTATCTATACACTGTATCTAATTTGCACATTAATGTGTTCTTGGAGCAACATTTAATGAGGAAAGAAGTGTAAGCATTGGCGTAATAATAAGCAACATTTTAATAATAATATCTAATATGTCATAAGAATTTTGACGTATAATTTATTTACATATTCACTTGTTATGTCTCCCAGAATGCCTGATAAACATGATTTATGTCCTGATGTTCTCTACAGTGGACATGAATGAAATCAATGCCCTGTAACGGAAAGTCATTTTTTTCATTTGAAACCCCATAACATGTTGGTTGATGAAATACAATTTGAAAAGTAGTTAGATTTAAATTATAATTACAATATATTACCATATTTCAATAAGAGTGCTACATTTGATCACTAAATTAATGTTAGACATTTTTAAAGACCAAGGAGAAGTTGTTTTCATGGTGAAACCTCCAAACATTTGGTATCTCTGTATTGCCCTGAATGTGCTCTTTACAGGACATCCAGAAAAAAAAATGTGACATGCATGGTGTCAGAGAAATACACTAAAATATAATGTCCACTACAGTGGACAAAAGTCTATTCCTGGGTCCCAGGGGGATAGGCCAAAGTATCATTGCTGTTACGTTTCTAATTTCTCAGTTTTGTCATAATTTTAGCAAATAATTTATTGTATATGTTTTGAGACAGTTTTAAGACTGTTTTCAAACTTTTTTATTTAAGTAGGCATCTATTTTTTTATTAATACATAACCTCAGTGTATTCATTTATAATGTATCATTTTTGCGTGACATTTATGTCAATAATCGTCAAACACAGCTGACTCCGCGTCGTGGGAGGGGCCCCCAAATCAAATTCTGCTTAGGGCCCCCAAAAGTCTCGGGCCGGCGCTGGTAGGAGACCTACAATGGGCTCTATGCACGGCGTTATTTCCGGTGAAGGATTAAGGATGCTCGATAACTTCCGCCGATCGTAGAGTCCAATGCAATACAGAGAATTTATATTGAATTTTATACTCCATGGTAATACTAAAGAAACGTTAGTCACAAAAACAGATAAAACAGACACCCCTCGTTGTGTTTATGCTTCTTTTTAAAATTATATTAAATAAACATAACTATATATAAAATTACATCTAAACGTATGTACGTTTCGTTTCAAAGTCGGGAGGACAGTAAATTTTGAAGACTCTGCCATAATCCCGTTTTCCTCGGTTCTCCTCCGCTTTAATCTCCACAACCGGAAATGGACGAGCATCCTTGCGTCAAATGCGGAATTTATGCGTGCATATAGCCCATAGCCTAATGGGGCCCTTAAAGTAGTAGTTCACTTAAAAAAAAAAACATTTGCTGATAATTTACTCACCCCCTTGTCATCCAAGATATCCATGTCTTTCTTTCTTCAGTCGAAAAGAAATTAAGGTTTTTGATGAAAACATTCCAGGATTTTCTCCATATAATGGACTTCATTGGGAACCAAACAGTTCAAGGTCCAAATGAGAGTTTCAGTGCAGCTTCAAAGGGCTTTAAATGACACCAGACGATGAATAAGGGTCTTATCAAGCGAAATGATCGCTCATTTCAAAAAATAATAACAAAGTTTTATAAGCACAGATGCTTTCCTTGCCCTGTTCTGTGATGCTCGTTCCTTTTCAAAACATTTCATCAAAATGAATAAATCTTTTTTCGAGTCATGATAAGACCCTTATTCATCGTCTGGTGTCATTTAAAGCCCTTTGAAGCTGCACTGAAACTCTCATTTGGACCTTGAACTGTTTGGTTCCCAATGAAGTCCATTATATGGAGAAAATCCTGGAATGTTTTCATCAAAAACCTTCATTTCTTTTCGGCTGAAGAAAGAAAGACATGGATATCTTGGATGACATGGGGGTGAGTAAATTATCAGCAAAAGTATTTTTAAAAAGTGAACTACTCCTTTAAATATACTGAAATTGCATGGAAAAGAGTGAAAAAAAAATATGTTTCGCAGAAGAAAAAATGTTTGGTTTGGAACAACATGATGTTGCATTTCTTGGTGAATTATGATTTTAAAAGCATAATCCATCCCAAAAAAAGGAAATTTTATTCACCCTCATTTCATTCCAAACGTGAATGTCCTTCTATCTTCTGCGGAACATAAAATACATTTTGAAGAATGTTTGTAGCCAAATTTTTTTGGTCACCATAGACTTCCACTGTATAGACATTTCTTAGAATCTTCTTTTGTATTCCACAGAAGAAGGAGAGTCAAGCAATTGTACCTTTAATGAATGATTAATGTGATAAAAGAACATGCACATTTCCTCAAAAGACATTTGGAAAGACATAAAACTCTACCATTTGGGACAGGGGTTTCCATGGGCAGCTCCACACTGGGTCCAGATGCAAAGGGCAGCAGGCATGAGAATGGACACCCAAAGCCAGCAGCAGCTCACAATGAGAGACATGAACAGACCGAAGTCATGAACTGCCGGGATCTAACGACGCATGCAAAATAGATAAAGGTCACACGTCAGGTGTTGGCAGATTTTTTTTTTTTTCACTTTGCATGTTTTAAAATAAATTAACCGGCGGGATTCTCATTACGTCAATACGCTACTGAATAAACATGAGATGGTGACAGAAACATAAAAGCCCCATGGGTACAAAAGCTACCGTGAATAAAACAAGACCCCTCTTTAAAGATAAAGAAAGGTTTGACTGTCTGCTCTACATGTTCTTTCAGCTTATTACATCAGTTGTGTTTATTTTTTGATTGATGTTAGATCCTGAGCTTCAAAGTAGGAGGTCACTTACGAATCCGCAAGTTCACTCAGAACTTTGGCTCATTTAATCACACCACTTTAAAGCTTAAACTTGTTTTGATGGCAGAAAAAGCCCTTAATACAGAATGTAAGGGCCACAGGTCATGATTAAAGCATTACTTTTTATGTTGTTTTACTTAATTAATTGTATTACATTATTGTCAAAAATTGATGGTCCTTGTAAAAATCTTCTTGGTACTGATGTCACGGCCGGGCCATGAGCACATCGCCATATGCCTGTGTATTAAAGGCCCACTGAAGTGACGCGCAGCTTTGTATGATGCATTGACGTAATTTCCACTGAAACAGGAAGCTGAGGCGGGACAAATTGAATGGCTCCTCCCCCTCCTCAAATAGCCAATAGCGTTTAGTTTACCTCACAGACCGCGAGTTGTACTTGACAGGACCATGGAAGCGAATCCGAGCGCTGATGATGCGTTTGATTCAATAACAGAGGTTTGAAAAATTTCTAGCCATTTCATTCTTAACCGACGTATAGTTGGAAAACGGATTAAAACTTGAGCGTTTGAGCAACCGAACACACACTCCAACCCATATTGCTCTGTGACGTGTGTCAACGGCCGCTTTGGCGATGTGGTGTTTTTAGCATAGGGGGTGGAGCTTCAGATTCTAGAGAGCATTTGATTGGACAGAAGATGTGATGAGAAGCTGAAGTCCGCTTTAGCGGAAGTGAGAGACTGTAAGGTTAGCGAATTTTGTCATTGAATTTGGAACACACCAGCTTATTCATAACCTTAAGGCAAACATATTGATACCAAAAGCTAAAAAACTACAATTTTGATTTCAGGGCCCTTTAACTCTGATAAGTATGAATTACGTTAGTACGCTGAAGTTAGCCAATCATAACAGAGGTCATTACATCGAAATTTTAAAGCTACACTGTGTAACTCTTTTAGTTAATTCTTACCTAAAAACACTTAGTTCTTTCAAAAATATATGTGCTCATTAATGTATATTTGCTTCGTTCAAGTAATAAAGTATTCTCGTGAGTGTATAATATGCCATTGAAAGTACATACGGGTAAGGGGTTTTAATGTCGGTCGCCATGTTGCCCCTCCATCTTGAAAGTACAATAGCCAAAGAGGGACATACCTGTTAATTCAAGTTTCCCCTTTCGCGTTTACGTTTGAGTTAACACTCATGGACGAGGTCGAACTGGAAGCCATGTTAATCTTGGCCTACACTGGCCACCGTAGGAGTTAAAACGAAATTGGAAATTGAGAGGAACAGAAATTAATATTCACTGGATGGTCATATACATTTTCACCGCTAGATGGGGGTAAAAATCACACAGTGTAGCTTTAAAGGTATAGCAGCAAAAACAACCTGTTTAATTGCAACCACCAAAGAAGTGGAAAACGGTTTAGAAAAACTAAAATACAACTATTTTGGGTGCAGGAAACCTTGAGTAGCATTGTAAGTGAACTTAATAAAATCCTACGAAAGTGTAAATGTGGTCTTAATGGTCTAAATGTTGGCACATCTTTGTTTTGACAATTGATTTTGTGGCCGTGTTCATCCTGCTCCGCTGACTGCACCTGTGAGAAGGTGTTTGCGGCATATGCTGCCGCCGTCGTGAAGGACGTGAGGAACGTGGCTCTGCCGGCTGTCTTTACTGTGTAAATCATACGCTGCATTGAACAAGTCAGGTGGGCTGACTGTCTGAAGGTACTTATGAACACAAACACATCATCCACACCTAGAAGGAGAGACAGAGGGAGACAGTAAGACAAAAGAACACTTTCATTTGTAATGTGGAAAGCTCATGGGTTTTTATTATTCTCACCGATGCCGATGATGACGAAGGCTGCCACTCCGTTGAGAATGCCGAGGTATTTCACTCCAAACGCCACATGATACAAGAAGAGCGCCACGAGACAGCTCAGACCAATACTGGCCAAGCCAAAGAACGTCAGAAACACTGTGGAGAAACAAAATGGATATGAAGTAGAGCCAGACCGATATATCGGCAGACCGATATTATCGGCCGATATTAGGCATTTTCCAAACTATCGGTATCGGCAGTTATAATGGCCGATAAATAAGATAAAAACGGACGAAACACGCTTGAACCATGTCATGAGTGTTGGAGTTGTATAGTTTGTCCACCAGAGGGCACTCTACACCGTTCCTGTTGGCAACACTCGTTGAGTTGGTCACGATAAATACATTGCTTGAATAACAATTAAAAGAACATCCCGATCAGTTCTCTTAACTCAAATAAGCATGACAAATTTTGTGACTAATCATCTCCAATGATACATCTCCAAAATAACGAAATAAAGTCGTTATTTTTGTTGTTTTTTTGCACACAAAAGTGTTCTCGTCGTTTGATAAACTTAAGATTGAGCCCCTGTAGTCACTTGGACTATTTTAACGATGTCTTTAATGACTTTTCGGGGACAGCAAGAGCCAGTCCCTCAAGAAGCCTACGGACTGTATGCAGGAGCGATCTTAATATCTTAAATATCTTAATTTGTGTTCCGAAGATGAACAAAGGTCTTACGGGGTTGGAACAACATGAGGGTGAGTAAATACTGACAGAATTTTCATTTTTGGGTGAACTATCCCTTTAAGTTAAAGTTAAATTGTTCGCTCATAAAGACAGTCACTTGTCGCCACCTACTGACTTACTTAATAATGCAAGTTGGGCAAACACAGACAAGCAGAGTGATAAATTGTGAAAAGGCTGATACTGGTGAAATATTTGAACACATTCGAGGACCATACAAATATATATACTTAAAAATGTTATACTATTTATATATTTATAAATATATATATACTAAATATATATTTATACTAATGAATTGAGCTTATAGTTTATGTAATTAGCAAATAACATCTGTGTTAAATAGTAATATATTGTAATAATGTTAATCAAGCTGACTAAATCACATGACTGCGATGTTAATTCTCCATTTTCAGTGTATGTTTTATTTAAAAAAAAGCAGATTAAAAGCCGTATAAGCTCGCGAGATGAAAAGTGACATCGGTTACAATAGGTAGCTAAAGTTAGACAGAAAAATTGATGCTAGCGATATGATTTCCTAACCTGAAATAAGATAGGAGTTAAAGGGTGTATTGGATGGGCTTTTATTGCGGGTTTGGTTTTATTTGTTGGAAAAATAAATATAGAAATATAATTTGACACAAGAGGGCAATATAGCCCTATTTATGGTTTTGAGTTAAACCGTGACATCTACACGTTTTCCAACGTGATTATTTCACGTCTTGTCTTCGTCTTGTCTCACGTCTTTTTATTTTTTTATTTTTGCTTTTTAAATAATAGACCATTTCTCAGTGATCGCCAATAAAAGAAAATTCAATTTTTTTTTGGTTTAATGAAAACCAATAGGTTGTGATGGTAAGTTTTAAGTGTAAGTTTCACGTTTGAAGGGAATTTAAACCGTGACATCTACACGTTTTCAAAAGTGGACCAACGTGATTATTTCACGTCTTGTCGTGATACCGGGTTGAAGAAATATTGTTTAGGCCACTTTGTTTGATATAATCACAACAATTTAACACAAGTATGGGAATTGAACTCAGGTCTTCTTGATTAAAGCCCAACGCTTCATCAACTGAGCCACTGAATCTGTTGAGTTCAAAGGTGTATGGACGGGGTTTTATTGCGGGTTTGGTTTTATTTGTTGGAAAAAACCTTTTGCTTAAACGAGGAGCTGGTGGACGCCGGAAAAATAGACATTTTACTCATTAGGCTGCTTCATTAAAAACGTGACATTTAGACGTTTTCTTCGGTGTGGATCCATGCAAATGAATCATTTTCACCTTGAAAATAATAAATGTTTTTTTTTTTTTTTTTTTTTTTTTTTGCATTTTAAATAATAGAACATTTCTCAGTGATCGTAAATAAAACAAAATTCCATTTTCTCGGTTTAAAGGGACTCTGTGTAGGAAATACCCCCATCTAGTGGTTAAATATTATTTTGCATCCAAACGAATTTTGCTCTCCAGCGCTCGCATTTCAAGTGCGTATTGCATCTACGGTTGCCGTTATGTACCAAAAATGCTATGACAGGATGTCTTGTAGTATCACTTCATCGAGTTTTTCTCCGGGTGAACAGGTTTGTAACTTAAAAAAACAGCAACTTATGTGTTAACTTATGTGTACAATTTATGTGTCTAGCTGTATAAATTAATTTTAATTCTCTGTACAATCTTATCCACATAGCAAAATCACAATTTTAGCTAATTGATCATTTATATATAAAAAAAAAGCTATAGAAAATCTTACAGAGAGCAATATTTTCTTACAATCATTATCTCTATATTCTTACTGAATTTATAGGTTATAAAGAATTAACTTACAAACTTGTTTTTAGCACCTCCTTCACAATAGCTGCGAGTAAAGTAGTCAATAGCTGCTATTCATCAAAGCCCTTGTTTAACTTTTTTACCTTATAAATGTTATACTGTCTATATAATAAAGTACACAACCAAGCAATGACAAAAAAATTAAGTCAGACTGTAACATTGACTAACCTGTCGAGGAGAAAGCAGGCAACTTCAGCGTCTCTTCTGAAATCTTTCTGCTGCATTAGCTATTTCCACGGTTGAAAACGCTATCCCGATATTTAAGGCCATTGCACACTGAGCACGAAATATTCGTATGCGTATTTTCCTGTACGTCAGCCTAAAAATTCGTCACGCATAGAAACCTTGCACACCGAGTCCGTTGCGTATTTATTAAACCTTTGCGGGAAAAAACGCAAAAATACCAAATGGATTCGTCAAGCAGTGAGGATGATTTTTGCCCTCTCTCATATTGAAAGAGAAGAAATAGAAAATATCCATCCAATCCTGAAATTGCGCCGAGAGGATTTATCCTGAGCGATTCAAAATTTACCTCAGAATGTCAGCGGGACAGTTTGATGCTTTGCTAGCGATTCTGGAGCCACATATTAAAAACAAGACCACCAATTTCCGTGAACCATCGATTCTGAACGGAGACTGGCAGTGTGTCTGGTATGGACCAGGTATGGACACACACAAACACACACACACCCGCGCGCGGCCCTGTGGAAGCGCTGGGCAGACAGAACAGCTAGGCTGTTATTGTGTATGTATTGTGTATATTGTGCCCAAATAATACATTAGTTATCGAATAGGCTGCTCAATCACACCTTATTCGATCCTAAATTTCAATCTGATTGAAAGGGGAGGTTTATTAATTTCATAATCCAATAGCTATAGAGAAGAGAACATAAACACTTGATCGTATTGAAAACCGAAACTGAAAGCACGGCGCATAATGTTCAATGATTTGAGGACGAGCTCCCCCGGCCCTGAATTGTCAAAAGACCTCTCAAAATGCTGGCTCTGGATGCGAAAAACGCAGAAAATCGAACCATATCTGATTAATTTTATGACGGAAAAATTAATGGCCGTGTTTTTTGCAATCTCCGGTCACGTTTCCTTTTTCGTTCAAGTCTGGCCTTTTTTTGCGATGAGGATGCATTCTCCTGTGACTCGGCATATGGTCCGCAACAAATAATAGAGCAAAAGAGCAATCAGCAATCATAGGAGTGCAATGCAGCCGTTTAAACTTGCAGGGAATGCGCCTCTCAATGTGACGTGACGATGGCTCTGAGTCTGAACGAAAACGCGTTGTGGAAACGCGTTTGGCTGGTGGTACTTTTTGACCCTCTCTGCTATTATAGTTTTCAAGATGGCGGAACGGACATGGAAGCCTCCGTGAACCTACCCGTCCCATGTACATAAAGATAATAAATTCTTCATTTACGAGGATAAGTCAGATAATTTGCAGAGGTATTTGTACACCATTGAGGACATATTTATGAATAAAAATATTGATTTCAGATAATAAAATACCTAAAAATCTACACAGAGTCCCTTTAATGAAAACCGATAGGTCGTTATGGCAGAGGCGAATAACATCTAGGCCTATATCTCTCCACTGGAGCGTGTTAACAAAAACATGTAAGTTTCACGTTTGAGGGGGTTAAACCGTGACATCTACACATTTTCCAAAGTGGACTATATAGGCTGCTTCATTAAAAATGTGACATTTAGACGTTTTTTTCAGCGTGGATCGAGGCAAATGAATCCTGTTCACCTTGAAAATAATAAATGTTTTTTGCATTTTAAATATTAGACCATTTCTCAGTGATCGTCAATAAAACAAAATTCCATTTTTCTCAGTTTAATGAAAACCAATAGGTAAGTTTCAGTTTAAGTGTAAGTTTCACGTTTGAGCGGGTTTAAACCGTGACATCTACGCATTTTCAAAAGTGCACCACCAAAGTGATTATTTCACGTCTTGTCACGATACCGGGTTGAAGAAATATTGTTTAGGCCACTTTTGTTTGATATTTGATACTTTTGTATGGACGGGGTTTTATTGCAGGCTTGGTTTTATTTGTTGGAAAAATAAATATAGAAATATAATTTGACACAAGAGGGCAGTATAGCCCTATTTATGGTTTTGAGTTTAAACTAAACCGTGACATCTACACGTTTTCCAAAGTGGACCAACGTGATTATTTCACGTCTTGTCGTGATACGGGTTGGGCACTGAAGTTACAGGAGTTTCTTCCCGTTGCTAAGCAATGGAACTAGGTCGAGTATTAAAAAGGTTATGGTTAACAAGTTGTTTTTAGCGTACCTTTTGCTTAAACGAGGAGCTTGGGTCGGACGCCGGAAAAATAGACATTTTACTTTGTGTTTACGTGGCCGATCCTGGCAGCATGAAAAACAAGTTTTATATAAATTCTGAATGGAAATTAGAAAGCACACAACGATCGCTCCCTTTCCGTCGAGATAGCACTCCCGTAGAACCAGGGCTATTAATAATGGGGGAAAAAGTAACTTAAGCCTAAATGTTTCGAATTTACGAGTACAGAAGCCCCGGTGTGGGTAGATATAAAGTAGAAAGAT